CTTTGTAATGTTACAGATCGGGTGGGAACATTATTAAAACATAATTCGGATGATTTTACTTGCAATAATGTGTTTGGGGGAGTAAATCTGGTTCAGAACTAAGTTCGATGAGGACGACTACATCCAAACAAAAGATTACGGCTATGACAACCGAAATAACTTCTCCTTTAATAATCGATTCCGGCTCCCCAGGAAGTATTGTTACTAAACGACTTTTAGTTGGATAGATACCAAATACGATAATAGTGGGCTGGTGCATATACGTCGAAATTCGTAAAGAGACGTAAGTACTCAATTTGTCATTTTTGTTGAACGGGTTTTGATTTATTTTTTTTTAGATGTGGGTTTCTCCATTTCTCCTCCCACCACGCAACTCAATTTCTAAATAGCGTTGAAGATGGGCCACATAGAGGTCCGTAAGGTAAAAAATCAAATTCCAATCACTGTTCCAATCACCGTCCCAATCATCATCGCAATCAACTCTACTCCAAATATGGTCGTCGTCATCATCGCAGCAGCAACATCATCTATTGATGTCATCACCGCCATCGTTATTAAGGGCGGGTTGAACCGACATATTCTCTGACGATAATCATCACAGCAGCAGCACAAACGGGAATATTCTTTGGCGGCGGCGTCATCGTTGTAACCGCCACCACCGTCGTCATCACAGCAGCACAAACATGAAAATATTCTAATTAGTTCATAAGAATGGATTTATTTATATTAAAAAAAAAGACATACAAAAATTTATTTTCATTATATTAGTTTAAATTATAATAATTACGATCTAAGGTAATATTATGTCAACCGAGAATTTTAAGAAAGCGGTAAAAGAATATGGAACTAATGAACTTGGTCTTGGAACAAGTGCGCAAAACATAAAAAGAAAAGAAGTGGCAAATATTCAATATAAGGTTCGCGGACCTATGGAAACTCACCTCATTGGTAATAGTAATATTGAATTAGATATCTCGGAAGCAACATTATATTTAAGGAATCAAGGATATAAAGTTGAATATTACTACGTATCGTTGCGTTCCACTCAAGGTCTTGTTTTTACACATCCTGAACAACTCACAAAACTTCAAAATCACGGATGGTTAACTCTGATTGATTCTACTCACCAAACCAACAGACACGATTGGCGCCTTTTCACTTTATATATTCGTGATGGTTATGGATGTTGGAGCACATTTTTTTGTGAGTAAGGAAGACGGTGATACAATTGCAGAAGCCATTATAATTATTAGACGTAATTGTCAACGTTGGACTCCTCGCTATATTCTTATGGACCAAGTAGCGTTGAAGCTAATAGCATCAAGAAAGCTTTTCCTGGTCTTCAGGCTGGTGAACAAGAGTGCGAAACTATTCTTTGCACTGTTCATACCATGCGAACATGGATGACAAAAATCTATGAAAAAAAGGCGCGAGATAAAATGATCATGGCGATGCATAAAACAACAAAAATTGGATGTGAACAGCTAGTTACCGAAGCCATCGAGAGTTGTCAAGTTTCTGCTATCAAAAGCTACATCCAAAGAAATTATGAAAGAACTACGCATAGATGGGCTCTTTATGCACGTCAACATTCTCCCCTTCTTATGCAAGTTACTACCACTAATCCTTTGGAATCTTACCACAGTGAACTCAAAAGACTAACATCCTTCACTTTTGGCTTGATCGGTATATTTCTAATTATTTAAATAATCAATATATTTTTTAGATATCTTTATTAATTATATATATTACTTTTTTATAGGTGCCGTACACAAGATCGTCGAGGTTGATAACAAAAAACGCGCAGAATCTGAAGACGCCGCATTTAACTTTCGTGTTAAAAAAATATCCGCCTATGGAGTGGATGAGGAAATTCTTGAAGAAATTCATAAATTCCCTTATCCGATGCAACAGATGCTTATTAAAGAAGCGTGTGCGGTAATGGATAGAATTGAAAAAGGAAAGAGTGCACCTGGTTTGACTTCGATAAACTGTGATTGTTTGTTTCACAATAAGTATTTGCTGCCATGTAAACACATTTTTCATGAACACACCTATGGTACCACTAAATTACTTACTACCGATACGTGGGAAATGTTTCAGCAAATATTCGAAGAAAGCGGATTTGAAGTATACGGACGAAATGAATTGGTAACAGTGATAAATGAACAAACAGAAGAACAGAAAGAAGCGGAAACTCGAAGACTAGCCATCAATGAGTTGACAGAGAGAATACGAGATATGTATTGGAAAATGGAGGATGGAGGTGATTCTGAACAGATAGAAGCTTTTATTGAAGAATTAGAGAGTTCTTTAAATCCAATTTTACGAGATGTATAATGACATAATGAAATAAAATTTACATACCTATTTTTAATATAATATCGCGTGATTATGGGTCTTCGTTTAGATATCCCCTAAAAAAAAAGCAACGGTTCTAGTTTAGTATAACGCAAATTACGTTACCGAATTCTCGAAATACCACAACGTCAAACGATACCGGCACAGAAATTAAAAAACCAATACAAAACATAGCCTATACTCCTCCAAACACATTATTGCAAGTAAAATCATCCGAATTATGTTTTAATAATGTTCCCACCCGATCTGTAACATTACAAAG